CTCTGGCCCGTCTATGTACCAAAAAAAAAAAAACCATTGGAAAATGTTGATTAGTTTTTTTCTTTTCTTTTCTTTTTTCAATAAATAGTCTCATAGATAAAAATAAAGTCATACAACAGGAAAACTTATTAGCTTTTACAACCAAAACAGATGGAAGAACCACACCAATGTGGCCTAAAACAAAAAAGCACCAACAACAGTAAACCAAAGTCGAATACTACGATTTAACACTTTCAGAATACCAAACCAACTACCCTCAAGCAAAAAAGAGACAACAGAAAGGGAAACAAAGAGATCGAACCTAACCTCTATGAAACTTGTCCCATGACTCTACCTGCGCACCTACTGAAATTCGATCACTCCCTTAAAGCCGCTTAGACAGTTAATCGACCTTTCCGACATCCAGACCTCCTCAATAACCCAAAGTGTGCAAGTCTTTTTAGAGCCACCAAATGATATATGTTGAAGATCGAATGCGTGCTTCAGAAATTGCAGAACGATCCAAATCAGCTATCCACTGCCACCATTCTCTAAAATCTTGGGCTGCAGAATTCAAAAAATTCCAAGTGTCCGAGGAGCACTTCCACATAAAATGTCTTAATTTGTATTGTTTTGAACTTTATCGGGAAAATGAAATCAAGATCGCTATAAAAATATAAAAACGAGGCTGTGAGAATATCGACTCTCGACCCTCGACCCAACTCGCAATGATAATGAATATCGACTCTCGACGATGTTCGACCCTTCGGCCCAAGCCCCCGCTCGACCCTTAAGTCGATGTTGACCTTAAGGCCCTGTTCGACCCATAGGTCAAGGCTCGACCCTTCGACCATGCTCGACCCTTCGGCCAAGTCGATCCTCTAGCCCAATCGGTTTCGATTCGACCCTATGGTCCAGTTGACCCCAGTTTTACAAGTCTTTGTTGGGTTGAGTCGGGTTGGTAATACTATAATCCCTATCAGTAATAAAAGATACAAAAGTGGAGTTGAGTGCAATTTAAAACGTTCCAACACATTTGTTGTGTCCAGATGCATTTTTACGTTTGAAAGATGGGGGAGAAAGCACTCATTTAATTTGCATCTCATTTTGCCGTTCTGTTAGAGCGTTTTTACCTCATCTTTTGCGTTTTGGGTATCGGTTGGGGTGGGTCGGAATTGGATTCCGAAGAAGTACATACTTTCTAATGACTTGGAAATTCATTACGTTAAGACTTCCATGGAAAGGTTACTATACCATATTTAGAACTATAAAAGTTTGAAAAGCATGAAATTAGAAAATGACATTCATTTGTTTTCCATTGGCATGTGAAAGGGGCTTTAAGCAAGCAAAAATTTGTGCCCAACCACGGCAATCAACAAAGTCAATCAAAGTCTGAATCAAAAAGGAATAATTTCAAATTAAGACGCAAGTCTTAAATGTCTTCACCTTAAATTCCTTCTAATTTGGATTTTGCCAGTCCAACATATGTATTATGAATTACGCTGCACTTTTTTTTTGGTACAGGGACCTTCCGGTTTCCGGATCCACAAGGGAACCGACTAATCCAGAATCGAGCCGGGTAGGACCACAAGGGCGGCAAAGCTCTCCCTCAAGAGTTTTAACACTGCTGCATTCCCAGGACTCGAACTACGCTGCACTTTAATTCGCGTGTCTTCGTATGAAAATATGACTTTATGCGTTAAATTTGTTTTATTTTATTCCAAAAAGGAGATGAGATTCGGAAACAATATTTCAAATGCTTATTGTTCATAAATATATTAGTGTTTTTCAACATGGCCCGGGAGCTAGAATCGGTCCGGGTAAACTATTTGGACCGGGCGACAAAGGACCCGGTCAAACCTAATCAAAACTCGGCCAAACCAGACTTGACCCGGTAGACCCGAAGCATTGACCCGGATGGGTCAACCCAGTTGACCCGATCCCTATATATATATATATTTTTTTTTTTCTTTTTTTTTGTTAAAAAATAAAACTATGTATGTATATATATATTTATATAGCTTTATAATGAAATACATATTATTACCACTTTAATCTACAAATTTTACATACAAAATCTTTAATTTTGTTACTTTTATGTATATTTATATGACAAAATACTCTATATATAATTTTAAAATTAATAATCCGGTTCAGCAATTGACCCGGTGACCTGGAGACCTGCCCGGGTGATTACCGGGCCGGATTCAAAAACAATGAAATATATGCATGTTATAACTTTTTCCAAAACAGATCAAAAGTGGTGGTTAAATTAAACTAACATCAACCATAATATAATACTAACAAATTAATGTTTATAAGGTTTAATTTGGGACAAATTGTGGCGCTGAACAAATATATTTGGTTCGATTCTTCTATCTCCGGTCACATTCTTCGTTGTTGGGGGGATTTGAAGTATAAAAAGGTGGTCAAGATTGGGAATATACTTTCCAAGTTAAATCATCAATAGTTTTTTTCTAACAAAACACAATACAAAATGATATTTTTATGGGAGATACTACGGTCCCGTTATCGAATCATTGTGTCGAGGTTTGTAGCCGTTAGATCAACTATTCACGAAAATTATATGATGATTTAACTGTTACAAATCCCGACGGAATAGTTCAGACTTTAGCATTTCCCCTAAACTAAACCATCTAAAATATTATTAGACAAGATAAACGAAAAAAAAATATTACTATATCAAATTACATATTTTTGGAAAAATTATAAATAACACAAGTTTCAAAAGTATTTTTTTCCACGACTAAAATTGAAATTTTTCCCAAATAAACATTTCAACGGACAATTGATTACCTCATAATCATATGTAAATTAAAATATGCTGCGGTTCATTTGTAATTAAACTAAACCTTTGGGTAGTTTCAATGAAAATGTCCTTGTTTTTTTTGTTTTTTTTCTTTAAATATATATGTGATTGTGAATCTCATGTATATGCATAGGAAGATGTTACGGTCCCATTACGGAACTATTCCATCGGGGTTTGTAACCGTTAGATCAACCGTCTTTGACGGTTACATGCATAATGATCTAATAGTTATAAACCCCGACGGAATGGTTCCGCAACGAGACCTCAACTTTTCCCATATGCATAAATCAGCATCATCATCACATGCAACTTCCCATCATCTTCCTACTCAAAAGCACAGATGTTTCTCGCTGTATATTAATAATAATAATAATAATAAATCAATAAAAAAACACGCACCCTCTTAACACGCTTACACCAAATCCATAAACCCACATAAATACATATATATATATCACACACACACACACACACAACACAAACACACATAATATAACTTCAAAATGACTCCTTCTTCAGAAATTGATCCCATTATTAATACGCATCATAAGAAGAGCCTTCAGGAATTCGATCGTATGGCGGCCATAATCACGAGGACCTTGATACAGTTGTTCGGAGACGAAGATATCGACAAACTCGAGCATGATCAAACTCCATCCAAAAACGAACACCAACGCAGATGCAAATGCAACAAGAAAAGGAGATCAAGTGAACATAATTCTTACATTCACCTCTCACGAGCCAACGGGCCTTCGTCTTCATCTGGGGATAGAACGGTCAAGAGGCGCAGGTATAGGAGTATTCATAACTTGTACATGGCCACAAAGCAAGTTAGTTTCTTAGAGAGTTAATTAAAAAGGAAGTACTATAGTTCGTTAGGAGCATTGGTCGTTGTTGATGGTAATTTTTTTGCTTTCGCGCGTGTTTTGATGCACTAAACAAGATGATTTCTTGTATAATCATATACACATGGCATTCACCTGGAATGATACCGATCGAAACACTATGGAACATGATCTGTAATAGAAGATTGTGATTCGAGATCTGTTAGAATATTACTTGTGAGTTGTCCTACATCGTTCATACATAGAAAATAGACCCACCTTATAAGTCTAATGGGCTACTCCTCCTTCCACCAATTGGTTTTGGGATGGAACCCCACTTGGGCTTCATATGGGCTTTCCTTTTCCCCCAGTATCAGAGCCCGACCAACTTTGTGTCTGGGTTGTGAGTTGTCCAACATACATGGAAAATAGACCCACCTTATAAGTATAATGGGCTACTCCTCCTTCCACCAATTGGTCCACCAATTGGTTTTGGGATGGAACCCCATTTGGGCTTCATATGGGCCTTCCTTTACCCCCAGTTTCTTACATAGTATCAGAGCCAGGTTTGAGACATGATATCAGAGCCCACTTTGTGCCTGGGTTAGAGACATGATATCAGAGCCCGACCAACTTTGTGTCTGGGTTAGAGATATGATATCACTTGTGAGGTGTCCCACACGTTCATACATAGAAAATAGACCCACCTTATAAGTTTAATGGGCTACTTCTCCTTCCACCAATTGGTTTTGGGATGGAACCCCACTTGGGCTTCATATGGGCTTTCTTTTTCCCCCAGTATATATATGATTGTTTTAATCGTGTTCAATCCCCAGTGCTTGCAGTTACTTTCTCATGTAGTCACACACACATTAAACCTATGGGGTCATCGAATGGCTCGACTTATCGAGTCATCCACATTTATTCACCAATAGTGTAATGACACGTGTTTTACAATAAATACGCTTTGGACAAATGTCAATACATTAAGTGGTGAATGACTACATAAGTATATCATCCGATAGCTTCATAGAATTTTTAGAAAAGAACTGCATATCTTCTGTTAGGCACTAATTATGTAACTTGATAATTATATACAACTTCAACTCTTTCCCAAAATTTTAGATCAACTGGAAGAACAGTTTTGCATACACAACGAATGACGTCATCATAACATACGCGTGACACTGTCCTTGGGTATTAATGAATAAGGAACTAAATATGATTTGATACTATTGTAGGGAGATTTCACACTTCCGTTACAGAACCATTCTGTTGCGGTTTGTAATCGATAGATCAACTATCTCCGACGATTACATGAAAATTTAACGATTATAAATATGACGGAATGGTTACGTAACGGGACTATAGCATTTCCTATTATTGTAATGTACAATAAAAAAAAGAATGTTATTGTAAAAAGAATATCCATTCTTTTTTGATCTTTTTGACTCCCTCACTGAACGTGCCTTATTTTCTTCCTTGTATTTCGGCTTTTTTGGGGTGATAAGTCATATTATAGTAAAGTTAAACAATAGGTTAACAATAAACTAGTGTTTATCACGTGATTGCAATGCACGGATTTTTTTTTTTTTTACTTTATTTAAATATGATTATTTATATTTAAACATTTAATTATTGGTTTCCTTGATTCTTAATAATTATTTAAGGTAAATTGCACCAAACCTCCCTGTAATATACTAAATTTGCGCGTTATCCCCCTGTATTTTAAAAATTGCGTCAAACCCCCTTCTATTGTATATCTGCCTGCACACTCTCCATT